CCAAAATAGCACTTGGGTAATTGACTTTTAACCCAGGGTTAGTACTAATCCTGATTTGAACAACTGGCTCTACAAGTAAAATTGTCTAGTGTTATCGAGTAAAATTATCTGGGGCATAATTTCCAGGGTGCATTTCGTGTAAACCTCGCGCCGAAGATAATCTGAGGTCAGTGTTGCCGAGCGCCAAGTGAGGTCAACTTATGCGCCAGCTGATTGCGGGCATCGTGATTTTTCATTAATAGTTAGTTGCTTAAAATGTAAACTTGCTAAAAAGGCATGTAACTAATTAATAAAATGTTTTGCTGATGAGCAATGCTGCGTCAACCACCAAACTGAAAACTTGTGCGCCAACCTCGACGTGGTTGTGCGCCAGCAATTCAAAACTCACGCCGAAGATCGTCCACAAAACGTGCATGGAATGCACTCTGGCATAATTTTTTGCATATATTGCAACTAGCTTAGTGGGATAACAAGAAGTATTAGCAGATTGTTTGGTTAATCGTCTGGCGTTTATACATACTAGATTAAAACAACAATGTAGGGTCAATTTGGGTGCATTGTAGCAGTTTAACAAGATATATTCATATTTGAAAGCTCTCACCTTGTCAATCTGGCATAATTTTATACACAATTATATTTATAAAAACAAAAACCAGTAAACCACGACAAAAGTATATACACAAAGACAAAAGCGACGACAAAAGTAAAAGAAACATTGCACACTGAACCAATGCGGCATAGTGTAACACAGATTAAACAACAAAGTACTAAAGTAGAGTGAATTTGGGTGCGCATTTGAGAAGTATGAGTTTGAGACATATTTGCAAGCTCTTCCTCTGACAAGTGCGGCATGGTGGGTTAATTGAAGCACACAGACAGCATTTGAGGATGCTATTTTACAAGAAAAAAGCTTACTTGCCTTTAAATTTTAAGATCCGAAAAATCTCTGGCTCAAAAGCGACGTTTTAACGCATTAAAAGAACAGTTCTTCACAGTGATATTTGCTAATATATTGTTTACAAACACGCGCCATAGGTCTATATGAACAACTGGAGTTACACTTTGTGCTCATCCGACAAACATTGCACTCTAAGTATACGAATGTGTCTAGCCCGCGAACGGGCTAGCCACAAAAACCTCTCCTCATTATAAATATTCTCAGTGGCTTAAAATTAATTTCCTGAATTCAAAAGGTTTCTCTATCCAGTGTTAGTTTCGAGATCAGTACTACAGGTCTAGTAATTTTATTATTATTATTAAAACTTTATTTAGGCACGGTATTACTCATCAGGATTTACATTACATTACCTAAACTATATTACAAAAACTACAATGATTACAAAGTTATCTCTACACCTGCTTTCCATGAGGACCGTGTATTAATTTAAAAATAGCCATTAAAATTAAATAAAAGACTTCTACAACCCGCTCGAAAATTGTCAAGGGACTGTGCTTGCCGTAGCCCGATTGGAAGACTGTTCCACAGCACAGCACCACTGTAACTAAAGCTGTTTTTCAAATAGTTTGTGCGAGGCATAGGAACAGCTAATTTATTCTCAGTGTCACGCAATTGGATTGAAGCCGTTACACTTTCACAATCAGTAAACATGGAGTGCATATAGTCGGGAGTTAAACCATTAAGAGATTTATAGACCATTACAGCCTTTTGAACTTTACGCTGAAAGGAAAGTGTTTTCCAATTGAGCTTTTCAAAGAGTGAATCGGCATTAGTGTCACAGCTAGAGATTGTTAATACATTCTCTAGCTATGACACTAATGCCGATTCACACTAATTAGTTTTAGACAGTGAACTCTATAAAATCTCGAGCGATACCTCCGGCTGTGTTTTTGATGGCGGAAATTGAAGTTTGTACCTACCCGTCTTGTAGGTATGCCCTAGGCCCCTACGCGGAAATTCACTGAATTGAGTACGAAAAAGCGGCATCATTTCATGCAGAAATTTCATAATTTTTCAGCGGACTACTTTTCAAGTTCGGCTTTATCAGCTTTATCACAGCCCTACGAGACTAGAGCAAGTGGTTTTTTAGACGAAGCAAATTTTCGAAACACTTAAACAAGGCAAAGCTATTTGATGAGTGAAAAACAAGTTCATGAAAAACCCCCGTGGACAAACACCAGCAAACTTTTGTATTTGAAGTCAACACAGAATAATATGGATGCAGTTGTATCATCTTACCTTTTCGTTTAGTTTTTAGCTTTTATAGCAAAAATTGAAAAACATCGATCGGAAAACTTTAGTCATTTTTCAGCTCCCGAAAAAAACACGCGTGTTTTATGTAGGTACAAGAGAGACTGTATAGGCTGCCATCTTGTCTTCAACGAATCATAGGGCAGTTTACCTGCAGTTATTGTTCCAGTATGGATCGTTTTAACACGAGATTTAGATCGAGGACGCGGACGTCAAAGACGACGTGAAAATGGCGTACTGTGCCCATGTATGGATATGCCACGCCATTTTCATGCTATTTTCACGTCATCTTTGACGTCCGCGTCCTCGATCTAAATAGAGACCTTACGATTTTAGGACGGCAACACGACGGCAACGGCTACCAATACAATAGATCATTGAAAAGAATTGAGTAATTACAATATATGAATAATTTAGACATTGTCCTCGCTTTGTTTACAACGCCAAATCACAGATTTTCACGTCTTGATACAACGGCTGCATTCCAAGCCACAAAGATAGAAGTGGTAGCGGAAAAGAAATTTAAACCCGTTAAAGTCAAGGTCGGATTTTGGTGGAAATAGTGGGCGAGGTGGAAAAAATTTAGGGGAGGTGCAGCGGTGTAGCTCAGGACCCTCATGGAAAGTTAGGGCTTAAAACGGGCCAAGGTCAACGGCGTGACTTATGCATGTAGTGTACATATGTGTCAGTGTATTAATGAATGATTACAATTGCTACAAATTTTCTTTCAGAACTGTGCATTAAATGAATGGCTAGCACTGTTTCAATTTTACATAAAAAAAACTTTATTACGAAGTGTAGACCCAAAGCAGCCAAAAAATGTCAAATTTGCACTTTGATCTATCATTGAAACTTTCCCAAGGGGAGGTGCATGACTTTTCAGGGGAGGTGCAAAACGATCTCAGGGGAAGTGCGCACTTCCCCACACCTCCCCTCAAAATCCGGCCATGGTTAAAGTAACTACATGCAGGCGAGCTTTAGGTGACTTTGGCACCTATCTCTGCATGGTAATTATTTTCTGTAGTATATACTCTTATTTGCGGCAGATGGCATGGTTCTTAATATGTTTCATAAGTCTGCAATTTGACTGGAAGCTTTACTTTTGAACATTGTTCAATGTGCATGAATCGGGGCTAACTGTTTGGGATAAAAATAACCAAAATTTCATCTTATATAATACATTTCTTCCAATTCATTTTAGCATTTAACTCGATCTATGGCAAGAAAAGAGATAGAACTACAGGTGAAATTCTTTTCTTTTTTCATCCTTCGTTTAGAGACGCTCCAAATCTGATAATTTGCGTGAAATTCTTGCCAATTAATTTAGTTCTGCATCATGATTGGTAGTTTTAATTGAACGAGAATGACGATGTTAGGATGAATTTTTAAATTGTACCAATTTAGCAATTGTAATTTTTAATTCTATGTTACACTCTGGTTAAATTCAACCAGGAACTGGATCAATAAATTACCTAGCACATTCCTGGTTAAATTAACTAATTTCCTGGTTAAAAATTATTGATTCAACAAAAATCTGGCCATACTTTGGACTTTTAACCAGGAAAATGGTTTAATTTTTTTAACCAGTATTGTGTAGGTAGATTTTTAACCCCATCCTGGTTGAATTAACCCAAATTTAACCAGAGTGTTTTAGAGTGTAGAACCATCCTCAGAGATATAAAAAACTAGTTTCATGTTTATTCGAATACTGCAGAGTACAATTAAAATGTCGTTTTCTCTGGTGGGATTCGAACTCTCATCTTCGCGCTTCTTGACCTATTGTGATTGTAAGTGTAATTTAAACAGAACAGCCTCGCTTCCTGCCCGAGTTCCCAGCTCCTGTATACTAACGAAACTCGATAAGAGTCCAAATTCTGTGATTTACTATTGCAGAGAACGAGTGAAGGAAAAGACACGCAAGACGACGCCGCACGTCAAATATATGAAAAAGAAAAAGAGCTTACGGTTTGTGTTTCATCATTTTTTGTTGTTTTAATCACGTATAGAAATGTGTCCGAACAGGGTAGCAATTTGTCGGCACGCGTCGAGTTTCGAAAGTTTTTTTGTTAACAATATACACGAGAAAAGTCTCTGTCCCTGTGTAGGTATAGTGCCAAAAGTATTAACAAATGCAAATTTTGATTGGGTGGATCAGTATATAAGGCTATTAGCAATCAAAATGCCTTTACAGGCACATTTTCAGCAAGAAGTCCCTGGTAACGAGTTTGAACAAAAGGGAAAAAATCAACATGGCGGTCTATACTTGACAAAGGGGAGATTATAAAAATGTAAATATTTTGTTTTATGCTGTTGCCATTCTTGACTTCCCAGTCTCTCTAATTTTGAATTGACGATGCTCGTCAGCTTGTGCAATTTTAACATCCACTAGTCTATTTATTTTCCAAATTGTAATTCCAGCTTGCAACTTCGTAGTCTATCAAGATATGATGGACAGGCTGCATTATTGTTCATCACGGTATACAAATACGGTGTTATTGCGACCAATATTAAATTACTGTATATGACAAAGCGTATATCAGTAAGTGCTTCTCGTTGAAGTACTTACTGATATAAGTTTCCGGAGGCGTAGATTAATCCGCCACGCTTACGTCAGCAAATGATCGCCCCCTTAGAAGACTATCATACAAATGAGCAATTAATAACTAAAATTTTGACATTAGCAAAACATTCGCAGCAGAATGAACTCTTAGTTATCATATACACAGTATATACATTCTAACTGGGAACGGCAATGGATTTAAGTAAAAGCTATTTGGTATTATACGTAGTAATGTTTCTAGTCCATTTTGGTGGCACCACACATAGCGAAGTCAAACGCAAAACCATTTGGGAACCATCGTGGTCACACAAGAATGATCACAGTCTATTGACGAGATCTGAAACAAATCTGGGTGATCTTAAAATGCGTCAAAACACTGCAAGATATTTGTTTCGTCGGTCGATCAACAAATCGGGGAATAAAACTATTGGCTCAGACAAAGGACTACAGATAAATTCTACTACAGATAGTAACTCTACAGCTATGAAGCTCACGGGAGAGGATTTTTTGACGAAAACAAATATACCTCCCTTTCCTAACCCACCATCATCCATCCCCCCAACACATTTAGGTTGCTCAAAGTTCATCGAGTCTTGTGAGAATAAATGTTCGAACGAAACACGTTTCGTCTCAAGCGATCGTGCCTTTGTCCCGTTGTGTAGTTGTGATACTTCATGTAATGGTATTTTTATGGATTGTTGCAGCGATTATACTAAACATTGCGGGAGCAATACCATAGTGCCTAGCGACCCTGTGTATGAGGCACGATCATATTTACAATGTGAGTCAAAGCTTAATCTATCACTTGAGCCTTGTGAACAGCCCGATGGAGTATGGATGATAAAACAATGCCCCATGCAATGGTCTGATGACGTCATACGTCGTAAGTGCGAGGCGCCGTCCATGTTTCTCGATAACCGAGCCTACGGTACATTAGTCCCAGTGTACAGCGGAATAAGCAATCTGACCTACAGGAACCAGTATTGCGCAATATGCCACAATGTGACGTCATATGAATTCTGGGAGTTGACATTCCGGGAAGAAGCGACACCGCCGAGCCACTTTAACAAAGAAACTCTTATGACGTTCATTAGCTCAAATCTACGGTATTTTCGAGGGATTAGACCTAAATATAGTTTCAATGTGCGGTATTGCTATTTTGCAAGTATTGTTAAATCTTGTCCAAATTCTTGGGACTTTGATAATACTCAGTGTGTTAATGGGACAGTTGAAATAGTCCACTCGAGTGATGTAGTCTATAGAAACCGTGCCTGTAGTTCGTGCCACGATGTGAAATCTCCGTGCTCCATTGAAACGGTTTCCCCTGGAGGTTGTTTCGTGTTGCCAGGAATTATAAGCCGTGCGGTGGATTTACAAGATTATGGCGTTGTCAAGGTTACCAAAGTATGTCCCGAAGGACAGGTCTACGATCCTTATATATCCACATGTCGTTCAAACTATCAACCGCTACTCCTGAATTCCTCCGTGGATTCTTACAAAATCATAATGGCAGTGCTAAGGTACGCTTCCACACCACGGGTCAACGAATCACAACTTCTGCAAACGATTGCAAGAAATTTCAATTTCTCGAAACGTCAAGTAAGGAATGTTGAAATAGCTACACTGGATGATAAATTTATCATCTCATTCATGCTTCACTTGACACCGTTACAGAGCCTAATAATTTCTTCCGGTGGAGTTAAAAATCCGAAAAACCTTAAACTCTGGCGGTTATTGAGGTTTAAGAGTGCTTTCCCGTTGATTCTAAGTGATGGAGTAAATTTAACTGTATTCCGCGTTAAAGTTGGGAGATTGGCTTGCATGCATTGGAGTGTTTATCAATACCACGATTATACGATGTTCCAAGATCACCGCTTGTACATAAACAAGACTAAAGTTACCTACGAAGAATATGAATACGAACTGAGTGGACCAGCTGTCAAACCTAAAGCAACCGTATGTTCCAAGCTTGCTCCTTTCCATATAGATGACTCTTACATAAGTTTGAATCCTTCCGAGTATACCTTGCTTCCCAATCTTACGCTTATATACAAAAATTCAAGATACGATTTTGGAGAGTATTCATATGTAAATGGTACAGTGTATATTTTTGTTGGATTCAAAGTGGAACACGAAAAATCCCCGTTTTTCAGAAATAGAGCTGTGTTGACCATCGTGAACTTCCCTTGCTTTATTCTATCTGAATTATTTCTCATCGCCCTAATTGTCACTTATTTACTTTTCAAGGAGTTGCGAACTTTACCCGGGAAAAATCTACTAAGTTTGGCCGTTTCCCTGTCGTTGACTTTTCTATTTTGGGTGTTTTCTGGAGAATTTACAGACAGCGAAACGATGTGTACTGCCTTAGCTATTGCGACTCATTATTTCTTTTTGGTGTACTTTACTGCCTGCAGTGTAATCGCTTATCATTCGTGTCATGTATTTGGCCGCGGTATCGCTGTACGCCCAAGTGAAGAAGAGGAGAACAGAAGATTTAGGATCTATTTTCTGCTAACTTGGTTCGCTCCAGCATTGTTTGTCGGATTATTCAGCATACTGGACCACACTGGTTCCTTTGCTGTGGATTACGGCCTTGTTGGAGAAGTCGTGTGCTTTCTGGGCACAAAACAAGCACAGTTTGTTACGTTTATCACCCCAATTGCAATCTCCCTTTTCTTCAACGTCTCAATGTTTATACACGTTGCAAAACGATTTTTTAAGAATCAAAGATCGAACTCGCAATTTTTATCCAGTGAACTCCAACGAAAACGCGATCGAGAAAATGTGCTTATTTGTATCAGGTTGTCAACGCTAATGGGTTTCTCTTGGTTGTTTCTGTTTATACATCTTCTTTCTCGACCCAAGACTCAAGTATTTCTCTATCTTTTTGTTGTGTTTGTCGGTCTACAAGGTGTGTTTGTTGGGGTCGCATTCGTTTTCAATCGCAAGTGTTTGGGACTATATCGCGCGTTGATAAATTCAAACTTGAATCGTTCGTCTACGAAAAGAAACACGTTTAGCTCAGCACACTGTACGAAAAGTATTTATCAAGACACCAAATTATAGACATTTTGGGAGATATAAGAACTGCTTACTACAAGGAAATGTGAATCGATTTTATAAAAATGTAGCGAAACAATAAAGTGTATTATTTTACGCACCAGCTCCACAATCTCCGATTTGTTGGATGCCTATGATTCTTGATATCGCGTAATTATGACGTCACTCTTGCGGATAATTGTTTCTATATGGAGATATGACGTCGGCTCTGCTGAGAATAATCGCATTTTATTTCGAATATCGAAGTCCGATCCGACTACGAAACAACTTTATCAATCCGATCCAATCCGATCCCAATATTTTTGTTCCGAAATCCGATCGGATTTGCACACGTCTAGTTTCAACCCTTTCCTTTCTCCACGTCCCCCCCGTTATTTTTCGCATTTCAACGAGTATTTGGAAGAGAGAAAGAGTTCCAACGTCAATGAATTCCAGGTAATTCTCCACTATAGGCTAAACCTTTTTAAGAAAATTGTTATTAGGTTTTGGAATGGATAAATTCACATTCCCCTACCCCTTCCTTACATTGTGATCATGTGCATGATTCCTTTTGGAAAACTGTGATAAAGATACATAGGGAAAGCAGTGTTTGCTACCTTGTGCAACAAGGGGAAATTTCGTTCTTGACCAATCAAACGCATTTGTTGACAATTTCGCTCTAAGCCAATCAGAATGCGTAATTGGTTACTACTTCCGGTAAAAACACACATTTGAACAGAAGATATAGGGTCTCAAATAAAGCTTCGAGGGGGTCAGGAATTTTAATTTTTTTTGATTGGACGTAAAGCCTGCCGCACACGAGAGCAACTTGCTGAGCTAACCGCCTCGCGTGGCAGCTAGCTCAGCAAGTTTTTCTCGTGTGCGGATAGTTTTCGTGAGGATTTGACCTCTCGAGGCCTTGAGCAAAATATCTATCGTGTTTGATATTTTTCACCTCTTCAGTGAGGAAAAAATCTCTGCGTCTGCGGATGTTGTGAGCTTAGTGCTGAGCTGCTTGAATCAATTAGCCAATGAGAAACCATAATTTCTTCATGTGACTTGGAACAAAATGGAGGAAGATGCAAATGATTTTGTCAATTATGTTGTTGTTGAGTAGTTTTCCCAACGTGTGCGGTGAAAATACATAGCTAAGCTATCTGCCACTCGAGGCGGTTAGCTCAGCAAGTTGCTCTCGTGTGCGGCAGGCTTAACATGACAAGGTAAAAGCCTAGTTCTCATTCATCGCAAACCGTCGGCGATGGGAGCTTTGCGACGTCGGCGACCGCTTGCGATTTATGAGAACACATCAAAAATTATATCGCCGATTGTCCGTGATCGTCGCCGACCATCGGCGATGACATCGCAGGAAACAAAAAAGTTTGTTTCTTGCGACCATCGCCGATCATCGCCGACTGCCACCTGCTTGAAAAATCTATGAGAAATGAGTAAAAGTTGTTTTTTCCTCAACAAGCAAGGAAATAATCAACTGAAGTTTGACAGAAATCATGAACTTTACGTTGAACGGGGCCATAATGATTTTGTGCCTTGGTGGGAAATTTCGAAACACATCGGCTGTCATCTGCGACGTTCACCGATGTATGAGAACTTTCGTACATCCGCGATCGGCGAGTATCAATCAATCAATCAATCAATCAATCAATCAATCAATCAATCAATCAATCAATACAAATTTATTTAAACACGGTAAAATCTTCAGGACATGGATAATCTAACTATTATAAGCGTAATAAGACAGTTATAAGTTACATACACACATCAATTATAAAAAAATCTAAAAATTATCTGCTACTGGTTTACAAGATTGCCGTGTGGGAGTTCACTTGAATTATTATAATACTTATCTACAGCTTTCTTAAATTGTGGAAATGTTTGAAGCTTTCGTATATCTTGAGGAAGACTGTTCCACAAGTAGGCACCACTATAACAAAAGCTTCGTTTTAAGTAATTTGTTCGTGGCTTGGGCAAATTTAATCTCGTCTCAGAATTTCTTAAATTGTACCCTCATGTGTCACGAACTGAAAAAAAGTCTTGTAGATATGACGGTATATTCCCTTTGAGAGTCTTAAAGATTAGGCCAGCCTTTAGCCCTTAAGCTTTTTGCGTCTTAAGAAAAGGCGATCTAAGTGTAAAGTATTTAATAGGGTGCTTGCACTGGTATCGTAGCTAGACCTCGTAATGACCCTTACCGCTCGGTTCTGTAATTTCTGTATTTTACAGCTTAATGTTTCACCAAGACCGTCCCAGACCGAGCAACAGTAGTCAAAATGAGGTTGAATTAAAGATGGTAAACTTGAATAGCAGTGTTCATGGTAATAAACGGTCTAATGCGTTTTAAAGCGCCTATAGCTGAAGCAATTTTTTTACATAATTTGCGAATATGTACTGACCAAGAAAGGTGTTCGTCAATGTGTAGCCCTAAGGATTTGACGAAATCAACCCTATTTATTTTATTATCATTTATCTTAATATTCATTTCCCCATCTATAACTCGTATTTTCTGGCGAGAACAAATATAACCAGACACAGTACTAAAATGCGGTGCCCTGCAAAAAACATTTCTGGCGTTTCGCCTACAAGTAAACTTATATAAAATAATACGCTAGATGGGGCCCCTAGATTTCTCCTGTTGGCATTAACATGAAGTTTCTAGTGAGGGAAAAGTGAGCGCGCGAGGTCTGCGAGGACCCACCATCGAATTTTTATCGAATTTCTAAAGCTTTTTCATGTGACGTCTAATGTTACGCTTACATTTGTTTTGGACTTTGGCCACTGTCAGTTCTATATTTTTATTTATTTAGTTTAGTAATTTTGAGCGATTTGTAAACAATACAATTTCGCTTATTAAAACTGCACATTAAAAGCTTCAAAATATAATATTTTGGGCTCAAACTACTAACAAAATAAAGAGAAAAGTGAGACGAATCCACTGGTATACGGCCGAAAAAGAGAAAACCAACAATACGAAAGTTGTCAAGGTCAAATGTATTGCACTTTTAATTATGTTTAATAATTTTGAGCGATTTGTGAACAATACAATTTCGCTTGTCTTTCAAAGGCCATAAATCGCTAGAATACTGTAGTTTAGTAATACATTTGACATCTGTGAGTATAATTTCTTACACTGAATCGAACGGTGGTATTTTTGTCCTTATTGGGCGCATAAAACCAGAGATAAGACGCAGCAAAATGTCAATCGTGAGAGTTCGAGTTGTAATTCGAAAGAAAACTTTCCTCGAAAAAAGGAATTCGGAAAAAGGGAAGGATTATTTTGAGCGGCTTCT